CTACACATGTTACCCTTTTCGTATATAAACATTTTTTAATAAAAGGTGATTTTACTGTTCGGAAAATCGAAGAGAGGAGCGAAATGGGTTAATTTGTTTAGTATGCTCCTTTTTTTGAGAAACTCAATTTTGCATGAGTGACAATTGAACATCGTTTCCCCTTCAAACTTTTACAAAGAATGATCCAAACTTCAACTTTCTCGCAAAAGAAATTCCATGGAGAATTCAAAAGTCGTAGAGATTCAGTTCTTTTGCTTTGAATAATTTAGCGAAATCCAGTAGCAATTTCAAAATCATCTTCTACTTGTCTTTATGAAATGATGCGGTTGCAGTGGTCATGCCTGACTACTGCAGTCGTTGATCAAACTGATGTCTTTTTTAATGCCGCACACGTTCGCTTTACTCATTATGGGGCATTAACATAAACTGCAAAACAACAACCACTCCAGCCAAAGCAATTCAATTTCAAATCAATTTTCATTTTTACCCCCTTTTTTTGGTTGCTCTGCTGCAACACTGGAACCTTGAAGTATGCCTCGTTGCTACTGTTGTACACATAGCGGCGTTTCCAACCGATTTACACGTACGTGCAGCCGACAAATTCAATTTATCCAGAATATGCAGTGATTCGCTGGCAATCAATAGCCGCATAATCACAAATGAAATAAGCGCAGAATAGCTTGCACCATCGAAATGACGAAAAAGAAGAAGAAGAAGAACCGGGCGAAACAGTAGCTAAATAGGTAAAATTATGTGATCGTGGTTGCAACGTCGCAGGGATCAATTGAAAGGTCTCGAAACACAAGCATCGTCAAAACTTAACAAGACAAAGCTCACAAAAGCTCAACTCAACAATCACAATACCGAACGATGCCTCATCTTTGAATTGTTCCTATTGTCGCTGAGTGTCTCAATTCACGCTCACGTCCGTATTGTTGCATGATTATGAAAAGAAACCGTTTCCCTAGTTTTGCATAGCCGTTGTCGGATTTGCGCCGCAGACTGCATTCGTCGTCGCTGTCGTCCGTCACATACTTAGTTCAATTTCTGGGGTGATTATGTCGCAATTCCCGACCAGATGCACGCAGTCAGTCCGTCAGTCATCTGAAATTCATACATTGAGAAATCATTTCGACTGACACACTAAACAAAACGCATTTCGGTACAGTTACAATTTGAAAATAAGTATATTTAGTTCATAAGGAGGTTTGTTGGGCAAAGAGGCATAAAAATTGGGGGAAACGTTTTTTAAAGAGACATTTTCTAATTATCCAGACTCGATTAATATTCGTATGTCTCTTGGCACACAAATAGCCTTAAACATATTCCAAAATATATGAATAGTGTAGGGTATTACTGAAGTCTTCATATATCATCGATTCCGTTAAGAAATCAATTTGTAATATCCACATCACAAAGTGGCGCACATGATATGAATGTCCTCAACACTTTCAGCTCGCGATGGCACGTTGTGAGATGTTATCTGATCGACAAAATGACCCAACTAACACCGACTGCTGCTTCTTCTGTTACGCTTTAAATCGAAACTCATCAAAATATCGAGTTCAATCAATGATTTGTGTGGACTTCTTGTATATTGGCAGTTTTACCGACAAGCAGATTGTGTTCGAAGACCAAAAAAAATAAATGCAAACGACAATAACAACAATGAACACTCGTATCGTATGCCTGCCACATGTTGCCACCATCGAACGCTGATGATTTTGCAATCATTGTCCGAGTGTTCAACCAGATATCTGTTTGCATTGCGGCCAAGACTGGGCCATGATAAATCATTTTAATCTGTAAATATTTATGTCTTGTGAAATTGATTTTTTGGGGAACTCTTAAAAACATTGTTGCAAGAATTGGTTTTTAAATATTTTTCATTCTTTTGAAATGTTGGTTATTTTACTGTTATGTGTCCTTTGCACGACGTGTTGGGTCTTAGGATTTTCTTATCACTAAAATATTTTTTAGACAAAAAAATATTTTTTTCCTGTAAGCTTCACCAAACTTTGCCCAGACCACTAAAAAGAGTCCAACTAAAACTCCCTATACCCTCCACCATTAAATTTGTCATTCCTTTAATATTCCTCGTAGACCCCATAAAGTATATATATTTTTGATCAACATAAAATTCTAAGTCGATTTAAGGATTTTAGTCTAACCGTCTATCTAGAAATCACAATACAGCCCACATTATTTTAGGTAAACATTTGATACAGTAGTTTGTATTGTGTCTAGGATGGAAACTGAGATAAATCGGCCCACGTTTTCCTATAGCTCTCACATAAAGGTATCTTCTGATGTTCGGTATCTTAGCCACAATTTTTCACGAAAATATATTGAATATGAAATTTAGAGTTTGTTGTAATGGGATCCATCTTCTGTGGCATAACATTGTCTAAATAGGTCCACACTTTCATATAGCCCCATATAACGGTACCTTCAGATATCCTATGATTTAGGCCACATTTTATGCTGTCCTATAACTGGTGTCAAAACATTATCCATAATTGTCCACGGTTTCCAATTATACCCGCCGATTTTCGGTATTTTGAGGATGTTTTAAATTTTCTATTAAAGACTCGCTAAGCATAATACCTTACTTTTTTCAATAAAAAAAAGGAAATTACCCAATAATTAAAACCAGTAATGAAAGTCTTGAAGTCGGGCGGGGCCGACTTTATGATACCCTACACCACTTTGCAAATTTAGTAGAGCTCCGCAAAACAATTAAAAATTTTTATGGAATAATTCAATCATACACGTTATGATTATAATTATAATTTGAAGTTCAAAGCACTAAATATGCCGAAGCATTTGCATCTTTTAAATTCGGACTTGTATTGCCCATTTGCTGCACAATTAATTTGAAATCGGATAAATATATATATCCAAATCGGAACCGATCTCGATAAAATTTGGCGTTGTTACGGAGTGCATATTACGGCTGTGGGTAACAAATATAACAAATCGGATGAACAGTATATATGGGAGCTATAGCTATATCTCAACCGATCTTCACCAAATTTGACATATTAGCTTCTAGACTCAATTCTAGACCCTGACTACCTTGTGGTGTAGGGTATAATGAGTACAATTAAGGACCTATATTCCGTTTTTTTTTTTTTTTTTTTTTTTTTTTGAGGTTAATCAATAATTGACAAAATATATAGAGATATGAGTTTTTCTTTCGGATTCATTACAAATATTATGATTTCTTCTTTTTTATTTTTAAGAAAATGTTATGTTGTTTACCCCCACAAACAAACAAAGAGAAATTAGACTGGTGATCGAGGTCTTGTTTTTGAGCAGCGCTAATAAAGTTTATTATTCCTTTGGTAACTCCTCGAAATACTCATAATGTCGGGTCAAGCATTTCAGTCCGTTTGTCTTTCCGTCTGTGCAAATCACACTAGCTTCTGAATTGAATTTTGTGGGGGTTTAGTCATATTTTTAAAACTTTTTTGCGGTTAATCGGTAGTTTGTGTTCCCAGCTGACATAAAACATTCTTGCCAAGAATTGTCCGTATAGGTGCAAGTTGTTACAGGGAGTACACATACATATTTTGATAGGGCCAAAAAGTGTATCATCACAATAAAGGTGTTACATCCTAAGTCTCTTTGAACCAAATCCGTTTCAGGACATTCGGAGTTGATCTAGGGCTTCCGGTCTCTCTGTTTGAATGCCTGGTGTGCCCTTTAATTCTCGAAAGGAGTATGCAATTTGGTTCACACTTGGTACATCGTAATATTATTGTCAAACTTAGACCGAGTTCAAAGATGAGTAATATCGGTCCACTACTTCTGATACCAGAAGGAGAAATCAACATTTTCAAAGAAAATAAACTATAATTTGATTTGGTGCAAATCCCAACATCATATCAGGTGCGAAAACGGACTCTATAGGCCTACTACATCGAGTAGCTTTCCCACAAAGGGTCAAAATTCGGAATAATTATAACTCTTATAAAACGTGAAATAAGATTCCGATTTTCTTAAAATTTTGCACATCTCATTTTCTATATCAACAATAGATTTGGTATGAAGAACGGTGAGAAGTGATCACTCCCTCCAGTACCTTCTGCACCAACATTTAACCAAACGCTTATAAAATGCAAAATATGTTCCCAATTTTTTTTCCAAATTTTACACATTTTAATACTGTTTTGAAAATAGGATATATTGGTCCACTTCTTCTGATACCTCCTCAAAATTTTGAATAATCAAAACGTTCATAAATACATTTTAATACTTCTACTACTAGATCAATTCTTCTGGAGCCTCCCCCACAGCGGATCAAAATTTTGAATATTTATAACTGTTTTAAAATGCGAAATATTAATTCTCCCCATTATTTTTGTAAAATATGACCAGTGGCATATACGTAAAAATTTCGGAGATAATAATTTTTATTTGAAAAATGCCATGGTTGAGTACTTCAGACAAGGGTTGTCATATTCGGTTTTACGAATGATTCTATTTTTTGGCAATTGTTAATACCCTTCAAGCTCTGAAAAGCTAACACTAATGACTAAAATAATGTTAAAATAGTTTGAAAAAGCGAATTAATTTTTCAACGATTTGTCCACCTTTAAGTATAGTACCTCTTAATTCTCGGTACTCTAAATGTTTCAATAAATAAAAATGCTTTTGGTAAAAAAAATAATTTAAAAAATGTTGGAATCTGAAAAGGGCAGGCACCCCGGTTTTTACCCTCAAAAAATTTTCCAGTTGTATGATTTGGATACATTTCGGTACATAACAGAACACACGTCTAAGTCGACTTTTTTGGAGAGCAGATAATGACCATTGACCAGTAATGACCATTATTACGAAACTTTGTTTTGAAAATATTTCTTTCAGTTCTAGATTTTCTTCACAAAATATTTTCTATTTTTTTTTATCAAAATTAGGATTACCCTAATCTAAACAATTATAGAATCCAAATTCGCTTAGTGCCGGACATTATTTGTTCTGTATATCTGTCTTACCTTGATCTTCATCGAAATTCTTGGTGGACAACTGGAATAACGCATCCAATGGAGTGTCGCTTGGAACTTTTGAAGTTTTCTCTGATGCTCCTTTATTACTTCCCTCCGTCGTGGTCTGTGATAAACGTTCTTGGAGTTGAGATTGCCGTTTACCCCTGTCCTCACTGTTATTATCATCATCGTCGGCCTCCTCGTCACTACTCGCCACATTAACTTCAGGTGAACAACAACGACTGCCTCCTGAACTAGAATCCCGAGAACCACCACGTTCCGAACCATCTTCAGAGGGTATAATATTGGGATCTAAACTCATTTGTCGCAGCAATTGAGCCTGGGCATGGAAATGTTCCTGTAGCTGACGCTGATAGTCCCAGGCTAAACGTTGTTCGTAGTGGAGAAGCGCGGGTGGAAAGAAGGGGGCTAGGGATGGTATATGGGTCGAGGTTACATTTGGTGGCAGGCGTGTGGGATCAGTCCATGGAGGTGGTAGGACTTTTGGTAATTCCAACATTATCAGAGAATTTGCAGCAGGCACAACCGGAGCCATAGAAATTGGCAAACCATTGGCAATTACAGGTCCAGATATATTTGGATTTACACTAATTTGTGGTGGAGTTGTTGATTTTCTTTCACCTGATTTGGTGTCTTCTTCTTTTTTACCCAAAATATCAGCTATGGAAAAACTCTTGACGCGCTCATTACTAGATTTACGTCGCTGAGGCAAGGGCGCCACAAATTCCCCATTTTGTGAAGTTTCCAGCGTATTTTTAATTCTCTTCAAACCATTTTGCAGGGAATGAAGTTTGGAGTTACTGCTTAGTATATATGATCGGTGCATGGGTGGTGGACTGGGGGATCCCACAGAAATCTCTGACATGGCGGGACTGCTGGAACGTATCATGGTTGTGGGCGGCAATGGTAACTCTTTCAATAAACCACACATAAAGTTGTACACAGGATAAACACGTTTTAATTTTAAAAAAAATAGATTTTTGAAAATAGATAGCTACATAAATTGTTTCACTTCATTTTGTGTCAATTAACACTTTTAATTAATTGATTTCGAAAAAATCGATTTCATATGGGCGTTTAGTCACTTTGATTGTTTTTGTTTATTGTATTTAGGCGACACATTTACAAAACAACAACACCAACAATGACACATTGATATCACGTGTGTTCGTTTTAACCAGTTTTGCTGGTTGGCATTACAGAATTGCGTCGGCAAAACGTGCGTTTTGTGGCAAAGCAAAAATGGCTCGTGGCGCCCGTGAAACTAACGTGAGAGCAACTGCTGGCAAAAAGGCAAGCCGCAATAACACGGTTCTGTCGAGCACAAAAACAACAACGCCAATAAGAGCACAACGAAAACTGGTTTCTGCTCTGCTCCCATAAAATAAACAAAACAACACCAACAACGAGAAGGATGATGATTGCTGCGGCGTCACACGGCAGAGCAGCGAAAAATAAACTCACCCATACCAACTCAGCCATAATTCACAAGAGTTCAACTCATGCTCTCACTACATTGTTTTCTTTGATGCTCTCCCCATTTTTGATTGGGGTAAACACGGTGTGTTTGATGTATTCATCATATGTTAAACAGAGACAGCTATAGTGTTGTATACACCAAAGATTGCATTGTTGGAAATGCACCAATCACAGGGCATACACGTTACCGTACAAGGGGGAGATATTCTCTCCTTTGTTTGTTTGGTTTTGTTTCAATAAATTTAGCCAAAAATTGCTGTTTTGGTATTTTGTTGATTTCGCTTTGTTGTTGTGTGTTTTATAGCTGTCATCGTAAACGTCATCAATTTTTAGCAATTTGACGTTATGTGTTTTTTCTTTGTTCTTGTTTTTCTTTTCTTTCGTATGAATTGGTATGTGTTACATACAGCGTTCACAGTGGGTCTGAGAGTATAAAAATTATTTGGTGGGCCAGTTTTTAACCTTTTTTTCTATCTGAAAGAGATATGAAAACAAAATGTTATTAGATAGGCTTTTTTGCGGAAAATTATTTAAGGTAATAGACATCCGAAGATTTAGACGTTTCTACACGTGCACTTTGTAAATACAAATTTTACGATTTAACTATGTCCGTGTATGTGGCTATGTGTCTTTTTGTCTGTCTTAACGCTATATTTCGAAAGAATTGTGATATATGGCTAAAATTTTAGACACATGTGTATTTTGTTATTTTTTGTTATTTTCACATATATCCCGTATTTTGACGATTCTATCAGAATGGCTTAACATTTGTAACGGGTGCTAGCTCCGTCACAGGAGCTAGTGTCTACATAAGTACATGTTTTCTTATGGACCTCATGCAACGGGACGTACCGATATTCGGTACTTTAGGACTTTAAGCCACATTTTTAAACGGAATTGTTTTAAAGGGTACAAGGGTACCTCCAAATATTTGTATTTTGGTGATTTTAATCACATTTTAAAACATATTTAACGGTAATTTATAGGACTTATTTCTTCTATTCACTTAGCTAAGAGCCATGTAAATTTTAATTAAGTAAAATAATGATTTGTACCCGAAGTCGGGACCACTTTCCAAATGTCAGCATGACATGTTCTCCCACGACTTTTCGAATATTGGTATAAATTGCGTTTGAATAAGGCGATGAATTTGGCAATGTTTACCATAAAGTGTACGAAAATCACTTTATGGTACTAAATATGGAATAGAGGTTAGGAAAGAACAGGAATTATGAGTTTTATGTACCTATGATTGTGGTTGTGTAGGATGTAGACATGCGGGGTTTTTGGAAATATATACCTTACAGAGAGTAGTGGTATAAAAAACTGTGTTTATTTATGGATCTAGATATGGGAGTAGAATTTAATGTAGCTTGAATTTTAAAGTAGGATATATTCTTTGGGTATTGAGTGTATAGGAAGAGCTAGAATTGTAGAAAAAGCTATGCCGAGCAATGTTGGATGGATGGTACTTCATATTGAGATAACGAGAATGTTTGAAAAGTGCTTAAAATATTCTTATTTAGGTTCTAACAAATGTTATGGTGGTTTTTATATGCGTTCCGGGAGTATTAAAAGCAAATACTTCAAAATAAAAAGAATCTCTCTCTCTATTTTTTTATACCCTCTACCATAGTATGGAGGGTATATTAAGTATGTCATTCCGTTTGTAACACCTCGAAATATACATTTTAGACCGCTCAAAGTATACATATTCTTTATCAGCATAAAATTCTATGTCGATTTAGCGATGTCTGTCCGTCTGTCTGTCCGTGCGTCCGTTGAAATCACTCTAGCTTCCGAACGAATTGAAGTAGATTGATAAAATTTTACTCTCATGTGCGTATGGCCCGCAGGACTTTTGGTATTGAAAATGGGCTATATAGGTCCACGTCTAGGTATAGCCCCCATATAACGGTATCTCTCCCTATATTCGGTATTTTGATGATTTTATCGACATTTTTCTCTGGAATTGTTTGTAATGGGTGCTACAGCCGGTGACATAAAATTGGCTATGCTCGTCTTAGTATAACCCCATATAACGGTACCTCTCTATATTCGGTATTTTGATGATTTTAGCGACATTATTCACCGGAATTGTTTCATATTTCGTGTTTGAATTTCCTAATAGGTACTCCAGTGTATGTCAGAAAATTTTCTATTCAGGTCTAGGTCTAAGTTAGCCTCCCTAATATCTGTACCTCCCGATATTCGGTATTTTGATGATTATTGCGACTTTTTTACGAGAATTATGTCAAATTTCGTATTTGAATTTCCTAATGGAAACTACAGCCTGTGACAGAAAATTGTGTTAGCACGCCTTCATATAGCCCCTAAATATCGGTACCTTTCTATATTCGGTATTTTGATGATTTTAGCTAAATTAATCGCCGAAATTGTTAACATTTCGTATTTGCACTTCGTAATGGGCATGTGACAGAAAATTGTAGTTCCACGTCGTAACGGTAACTCTCTATATGCGGAATTTTTAAGACTTTAACAGTATTCATAACGAATTTTATTTTTTATTTATTTATTTTTATTTATTTACCAAAATTACTGATTTTTCACTTGTTTGGCATAGATTGTAGTACTGATTACGAACGTAAAATACGAAATTTTAAACAATTCCGCTGAATAATGTCTCTAAATAAAAATGTATCTAATAAAATATGGGGGCTATACGAAAACGTGGACCGACATAACCCATTTACAAAGTGTCTCTGCCTACTGGCAAAATACACATGCGTGTAAAACTTTAGCTAAAGATAGCGTAATTATAACGGACATCGCTAAATCGACTTAAAATTTTACGCTGATCAAGAATATACATACTTCGTAGGAAATGTCATGAGTATATCGATGAGTTGCAAACGGAATGATAAATTTAATATACCCTCCACAGAATGGATGGTAATGATCAACGGCAACACGGGATAAAATAGTAGATGTAATCAAATAAGCAAAATGGATAATTTCTGTTTTCCCTCAATGCCACTGTCATTCGATTAAACTGCTTCATGGCAAATACCTTCAAGCCTCCTCTGTAAAATATGTGCGTGTATAATACATGTAGAATGTCCACCATTTACCCTCATGTTGGAATTTGTAGCCATTGTTGTTTTTGTTATAGGTACGTGTGTATGCATGTATGTATGCATGTAGCTATTGCTGGTATTTTGGCGTCTTGAGATATATTAAGTTTTGTTCCACTCGGCTGCCTCCGTTAATTGTCGTAATTGTGCCGCCGTCGCTTACATGCTTCTTTGACTTTGGTTTTGTTTTGTTTCCTTTCGATTTGGCTGCCCCCCATCTCTCTTTTATTGTACTCTTTGTTCTATCTTGGTGCTCCTCTTGCAAAAGGCAGTGGTCGCATAATTCTCTCTTTGTCTGGCAAATCTTGAACAAACAAATGCAATGAATTGTTGTGGAGGGGTGACGTGTGGGGGAGCAGGAGTCCTTTTAGTCTTGCCTGCAATTGTCACTAATAACGAGTGTCTAGTTTTCCGATTTCTTGCTTAGCGCGCCTGTCATTTTTGTTGTTGTTGTAGTTGGTGTGTTTGCCGTTTGCCTTTGTCGGCTATTTGTGTCTTGATGTATTTGCTGACTGCTGCAATTTGCAAGAGTCTTTAATTCTTCGATATGTACACACACACGCACAGAGACATACATACATCACGCATCGAACACAAAAGGTGTTGTTTACCATCCCCTTCCCTCCCTCCCTCATTGTTGCCCACTTGGCATGGTGCCTTCTATATATGGACAACCCCCACTCCCCCATTGGATGGTAGATACCCCTCTTTTAATGGCTTTGTAGATATTTATGCTGTTATTCTTGGCATTGTTTGTATTGTTCTTGTTGTTGTTCTTTTTTCTGCTCGCTTTCTTGGGCTTTGTAGCTGGTTTTGTTGTAAATTTTTAAATTGATTGCAGTAAATCACATTTGTTTAAATAATCTTTTTTGAAGTCAACCGTTCACAAGTCGTTTTTCATGTTTAATACAATTTGTAAGTTATACATTGCTCTTGTCGGCGCGCACACACACTTGCAAACTTACATCGATCGTCTGGATATTTGTAGGTATTGACTAAAGTAATAGTGTTCTTGTCGTTGTATTGTTGCAACATTAGCCGCAGTAGGCAACACTCCCTCTTGTTTTGCTGGCATATCAGTGTCGTTCTGCCGCCTGTTTGAAGTCCTGTTTGTCTTTTCAAAAAGTTTGAGCGGTTTCTTTTTATCCCTGCCGATTGTCGAAGTTAATCACACGACAGTGGTGGAGTTAAGAGAAAAAGTTAACGGTATTAATAGATTGTTGATGTTATTAAACTTACTTTTTATTCTAAATGGAATATTTGTTGTTATAGGGCCTTAATTTCCGGCACATTTTTGTTCATCTTCAAAATTCTACTTTTCAGTTTTGAAGTATGTCTGGAGGATAGAAAGCATAAAATCTTGTTATTTGTTAATTTATAATATTCTTAAATATTTCTTTAAGAGTT